AGGACTGAACCAGGACTGAACCAGGACTAAACCAGACTAAACCAGGACTGAACCAGGACTGAGACTGAACCAGGACTGAACCAGGACTGAACCAGGACTGAACCAGGACTGAACCAGGAACCAGGACTGAACCAGACCGGACTGAGACCAGGATCAGACCAGGACCAGACCGTGACTGAGACTGGGAAAAGAAAAGAACTGAAAACAGTTCAGTCCTGGTTTAGTCCTGGTTTAGTCCTGGTTTAGACCTGGTTAGACCTGGTTTAGACCTGGTTTAGACCTGGTTTGGTTTGGTCCTGGTTTAGTCCTGGTTCAGTCTTAGTCCTGGTTCAGTCCTGGTTCAGTCTTGGTTTAGTCCTGGTTAGTCTGGTTTAGTCTTGGTTTAGTTCAGTCCTGGTTTAGTCCTGGTTAGTCTGGTTTCAGTCTTGGTTTAGTCCTGGTTTAGTCCTGGTTTTCCAGTCTTGGTTTAGTCCTGGTTTAGAGTCCTGGTTTAGTTGGTTTAGTCCTGGTTTCAGTCTTGGTTTAGTCCTGGTTTAGTCCTGGTTTAGTCCTGGTTAGTCCAGTCCTGGTTTAGTCCTGGTCAGTCTGGTTCAGTCTTGGTTTAGTCCTGGTTCAGTCTTAGTCCTGGTTTAGTCCTGGTTTAGTCCTGGTTTAGTCCTGGTTTCTGGTTTAGTCCTGGTTTAGTCCTGGTTTAAGTCCTGGGTTTTAGTCCTGGTTTAGTCCTGGTTCAGTCTTGGTTTAGTCCTTGGTTTAGTCTGGTTTAGTCCTGGTTCAGTCTTGGTTTAGTCCTGGTTTAGTCCTGGTTTAGTCTGGTTTAGTCCTGGTTTAGTCTTGGTTTAGTCCTGGTTTTAGTCCTGGTTTCAGTCCTGGTTTAGTCCTGGTTTAGTCCCTGGTTTAGTCCTGGTTTTAGTCCTTGGTTTAGTCCTGGTTTAGTCCTGGTTCAGTCCTGGTTTAGTTGGTTTAGTCCTGGTTTAGTCTGGTTTAGTCCTGGTTTTCAGTCCTTGGTTAGTCTTGGTTTAGTCCTGGTTTTAGTCCTGGTTTAGTCTTGGTTCAGTCTTGGTTTAGTCCTGGTTTAGTCCTGGTTCAGTCCAGCATCTCGATCGATTTTTCTTCTGTTCAATAAATAAAATCTGTGAAGTGATGATGGATTTTGACAGTCGAGTCGAGTCGAGTCGAGTCGGGCGCCCTCAGGTCCACGACCTGGTGCAGGACTCCTTCACGTGCACTGAAACTTGATTAATTTTTTTTTTTTTTTTAAAACATGTAGATAAAATCAAAATCCAACATCTGCCAGAAAACAAAAAATCACAGTTCAGGTTTTTGTTAAAATCGCTCAGTCCTGGAGTTTGATTCGTCTTCATGACCCTGAGTGAGTTAAATGTGTAAACGACGAGAAGAAACGTCTCAAACTTCAGGAGACGGACACGAGTGAGGTTTGGCTCTAGACCCGGGGCGGTTCTAGACTCGGACCAGAGCCTCAGGAAATAAAAACCTTCATCTCGCACTGACCTCCTCACTTTTTAAAAATTCTCCTCGGGACCTTTTCTCTTTTTTTTTTTTGCCCTGGAAGTAAACGAGTGAAGAATCTCCACCGGGCAAACCTCAGGACGGAGATGAAAAGAGAAAGAGAAGAGAGAAATGAAAGGGGGAAGAGGAAAGAAGGGAGAGAGATGAAAAGAGAAAGAGAGAAAGATAAAAAGACTGGTGGAAAGAGAAAGAGAAGCGAGGACAAGGAGTTAAAAGAAAAACAGAAAGAGCAGGAGGAGCGAGTGACTAAAAGAGAAAGAGATGAGAGAGAGGCAGACGGACAGATAAAAGTAGAAGGATAGAAGGATGGAGGGATGGAGAGGGAGAGAGAGAGAGAGGACACCTGGTCGTGTGTTTACTCGTCGTCGTTTGTCGTCGTCGTGGAGCAAACGAAGCAGCTGCTCTGTAAACGACAAAAACTCACACTAATGTGAAACACACGAAGAACGACAGAAGAGAAGAGAGAGGAGAGAGAGAGAGAGGGAGAGAGAGAGAGAGAGAGAGAGAGAGAGAGAGAGAGAGAGAGAGAGAGAGAGAGAGAGAGAGAGAGAGAGAGAGAGAGAGAGAGAGAGAGAGAGAGAGAGAGAGAGAGAGAGAGAGAGAGAGAGAGAGAGAGAGAGAGAGGAGAGAGAGAGAGAGAGAGAGAGAGAGAGAGAGAGAGAGAGAGAGAGAGAGAGAGAGAGAGAGAGAGAGAGAGAGAGAGAGACAGAGAGAGAGAGAGAGAGAGAGAGAGGAGAGAGAGAGAGAGAGAGAGAGGAGAGAGAGAGAGAGAGAGAGAGAGAGAGAGAGAGAGAGAGAGAGAGAGAGAGACAGAGAGAGAGAGAGGAGAGAGAGAGAGAGAGAGAGAGAGAGAGAGAGAGAGAGAGAGAGAGAGAGAGAGAGAGAGAGAGAGAGAGAGAGAGAGAGAGAGAGAGAGAGAGAGAGAGAGAGAGAGAGAGAGAGAGAGAGAGAGAGAGAGAGAGAGAGAGAGAGAGAGAGAGAGAGAGAGAGAGAGAGAGAGAGAGAGAGAGAGAGAGAGAGAGAGAGAGAGAGAGAGAGAGAGAGAGAGAGAGAGAGAGAGAGAGAGAGAGAGAGAGAGAGAGAGAGAGAGAGAGAGAGAGAGAGAGAGAGAGAGAGAGAGAGAGAGAGAGAGAGAGAGAGAGAGAGAGAGAGAGAGAGAGAGAGAGAGAGAGAGAGAGAGAGAGAGAGAGAGAGAGAGAGAGAGAGAGAGAGAGAGAGAGAGAGAGAGAGAGAGAGAGAGAGAGAGAGAGAGAGAGAGAGAGAGAGAGAGAGAGAGAGAGAGAGAGAGAGAGGAGAGAGAGAGAGAGAGAGAGAGAGAGAGAGAGAGAGGAGAGAGGGAGAGAGGAGAGAGGGAAGGAGAAGAGAGAGGGAGGGAGGGAGGCAGGAAGGGAGAGGAGAGGAAAGAGGGAGAGAGGACACAGAAGAGAGAGAGGGTAGAGGGAGGGAGGAGGAGAGAAAAGAGGGACAGAAGAGAGAGGAAGGAGGGAAGAGTAATGAAAGGGGAGGAAGGGAGAGAGGATAGAGGGAGAAAGAGAGAGGAGAGAGGAAGGAGAGATGGGGTGACACAGAGAGAGAGAGAGACAAAGAGAGAGATTTTATTACAGACAGATAGAAAGAGAGAGGAGGAGCTCTCTCTCCCTACCTCTTTCACCTTTTTCTCTCTCTCCCTCCTTCTCTTTCGCTTTCCCTCCCCTCTCTCGCTTTTTCTCTCCCTCTCTTCTCTCTCTCTTTCTCTCTCTTTCCTCTCTTTCTCTCTCTTTCTCTGTGTTTAAATTTGGCTCAGATTCTGAGGAAACATTGACACATTTGTAGAATTCCTCCAAAACCAAACATGTTTAAATATAAAAGTGAAACATGTTTGATGTTTTAATATTTTAAATGTTAAACTGAGTAAAGTTTGTGACTTTCAGCGAGTTAAAATAAAATATATTTGTGTCATATTCATATTATAATAGGGTTCGGTCAAGTGTTAACGGAGGGAAACAGGGTCAGATTTTTGACATTCAAATGTCTCTTATTCAGAAACTAGAGGGACTATTGAAATAAGTAAAGTATCAGAATGTAGGAAAGAGTTACACTCCAACAGGGTCAAGTTAAACCTGTGAGATTCTTTCAAGTTCAAGACAAAAAATTTAAAAACTCATGTCGGTAACGGAGGGAATGAAATATGCAGCACTTTTTGGTCAATAAATCCAGACAGTGATAACTCTTGGTTCTCACTTACATATCCTTAACAAACAAGTAGAAGGTGCAGGATTTTACATCATTTGTCACTTTTTTCTTCTGAAACTTTAATATTACTTCAAAATGAAAGAAACTATTTCTATAAAATATGTCAGTCCTTCCAAGAACATTTTTATCATTTTAAATACTTTTTTTTTTTTAATCCTGTCCCTTCATCAACAGTTCAAAGATGGAATAACACAAGATATGATGAAATACAAACATTTATTTACATGATTTTTGGGTCTTTGAAATTTGGGAAATAATTTTTGTTCCATGTTTCATTCATGGTCTGTTTAAAACAGATGGAACTTTACAACCAAAAATGGAACAGAAAAAAGGTCAACAGTTTGATAAACTCGAGTACATATGGATCTGTTCAATACATTTTTATATCAGATTTGGGTTAATTTGAAGTTTTGGTCTTGATGTTTACTTCTGTTTGACCAGGTCCATTTGTACAGTTGCAGATTTTTGCAGATGTTGTTCCAGCTGATGTGTGTATGTGTGTGTGTGTGTATGTGTGTGTGTGTATGTGTGTGTATGTGTGTATCTGTGTGTACGTGTGTGTGTGTGTATGTGTGTAATTGTGTGTGTGTATGTGTGTGTGTGTAACTGTGTGTGTGTGTGTGTGTGTGTGTGTGTGTGTATCTGTGTGTGTGTAACTGTGTGTACTGTGTGTGTGTGTGTGTGTGTGTGTGTGTCTTCGTGTGTGTGTAACGTGTGTGTGTGTGTGTGTGTGTCTGTGTGTGTGTGTGTAACTGTGTGTGTGTGTGTGTGTGTAACGTGTGTGTGTACTGTGTGTGTGTAGTGTGTGTGTGTGTGTGTGTGTGTGTGTGTACTGTGTGTGTGTGTGTGTGTGTGTGTACTGTGTGTGTGTGTGTGTACTGTGTGTGTGTGTGTGTGTATGTGTGTGTACTGTGTGTGTATGTGTGTACTGTGTGTGTGTGTATCTGTGTGTGTGTGTGTGTGTGTACGTGTGTGTGTACGTGTGTGTGTGTGTGTGTGTGTACGTGTGTGTGTGTGTGTGTGTGTGTGTACGTGTGTGTGTGTGTGTGTGTAACTGTGTGTATCTGTGTGTGTACGTGTGTGTGTGTGTGTGTGTCGTGTGTGTGTATGTGTGTGTGTGTATGTGTGTGTGTGTGTGTGTGTGTGTGTGTGTGTGTGTGTGTGTGTGTGTGTGTGTGTGTGTGTGTGTGTGTGTGTACGTGTGTGTGTAACTGTGTGTATCTGCGTGTGTGTTTGCGCAGGTGGCAGCGAGTGCTCGTGGGAGAAGGAGCGCCTGACCAGCCCCGGGGCCCCGTCCCTCAGCGGGACGCCGGGGGGAGGCGGGCAGGGGGCGGGGCCGACACCTGGAGGGGGCGGGGCTACGGCGGCGGGAGGCGGGCGGGGGACGGCCGTGGCGCCTGTCAATCAACAGCAGATCCAGCAGCAGCAGCAGCTCCTCGCCAACCGTGAGTAACGCCAGAAATCACCAGAAAAAACACCACCGCCGCCGCCGCCGCCGCCTCTGTCGCTCTGAGGAGTTTTCACTTTCATATTTGTTTCATAAAGAGTTTAAAAGTCCGATCAAGAGCTTTATTAAGAGTTTTTAAAAAATCACAAAGACAGACATTAAAATCACAAAGAAATACAGTAAAATCACATTCTTTGTGATTTTAATTGAAAATGACAAAGAAAGACATTTAAATCAGAAAGAAAGACCGTCAAATCAGAAAGATAAATGGTGAAAAATGACAAAGACAATACAGTCACAAAGGAAGATCGTAAAATCACATTCTTTGTGATTTTCATGTATTTCTTTGTGATTTTAATTGAAAATCACATAGACAGACATTAAAATCAGGAAGAAACACAGTAAAATCATAAAAACAGTAAAATCAAAAAAGATAAATGGTAAAATCACAAAGTGGGAGTAAAATCACAAAGAAATACATTAAAATCACCAAGAAAAAGTAAAATCACAAAGAAAGATGGTAACGCATTATGTGATGTGAAGATGAAGAAGAAACACAGAAAATTAGAAAGAAAGAAGTAAAATCACAAAAAAAGACAATAAAATCGCAAAGAAACACATTAAAATCACAAAGAAACACAGTAAAATAAAAAAAAAAGAAAGTAAAATCACATAAAATAGATGGTAAAATCACAAAGTGGGAGTAAAATTACAAATAAAGACAATAAAATCACAAAGAAACATTCAAATCACAAAGAAACACAGTAAAATCACAAAAAACACAGTAAAATCACAAAGAAACAGTAAAATAAAAAAATAGATGGTACAATCAAAAAGAAAGATATTAAAATCATAAAGAAAGACACTAAAATCACAAAAAAATAGATGGTAAAATCACAAAGTGGGAGTAAAATTACAAATAAAGACAATAAAATCACAAAAAAACTGAGTAAAATCACAAAAAAGACAGTAAAATTACAAATAAATATATTAAAATCACAAAGACAAAAAAATCACAAAAGATAGATGGTAAAATCACAAAGAAAGAGTAAAATCACAAATACATTATTAAAGCCGCGCGCGGCGATGGTGGCCCTCGCCCCGGCGCGCACCGCCCCCCCACGCGACCTCCACAGACTCGCGACCGCCCCGGCACGCCACCCTCTCTTCCCGACATCCACCCAGGCCGACAGCTCGTCGATTAGACACGTTACATAATGCACCTTTAAATATTTTTAGGAGTCATTGCGCCCCTGCTGGCCAACAGTGGAAAATGCACCATGTCCATAATAGACTTTCTGACTTGTAATCATGCATAGAATTTAATTCCCGAATTTGGTACAAATCCAATAATGTTGACGTTTCATGTCTATGGTAGGGGGCGCTATAGAGTTCATTTTTCATATGTTTTATAGTGTATTATATTCAGGCCGTGATCAGGCATTAGTGATTCAAATTTCAGCACAATCGGACTAAACCTGTGGGTGTAATTATCTTTTTACTATTTTTTGGGGGAGTCTTTGCGCCCCTGCTGACCAATAGTGGAAAATGCATCATGTCCGTAATAGACTTTTTTGCTTGTCATCATACATAGAATTTATGTTCCGAATTTGGTACTAATCCGATAATGTTGATGTTTCACATCTATGCTAGGGGGCGCTATAGAGTTCACTTTTCACATACTTCATAGTGTATTATGTTTAGGCCGTGATCAGGCATTAGTGATTCAAATTTCAGCCCAATCGGACTAAACCTGTCTGTGTAATAATTTTTTAACTATTTGTTGGGGGAGTCTTTGCGCCCCTGCTGGCCAAAGGTGGAAAATGCATCATGTCCGTAATAGACTTTTTTTCTTGTAATCATGCATAGAATGTAATTTTTGAATTTGGTATAAATCCAATAATGTTGACGTTTCATGTCTATGGTAGGAGGCGCTATGGAGTTCACTTTTCATATGTTTTATAGTGTATTATATTCAGGCCGTGATCAGGCATTAGTGATTCAAATTTCAGCACGATCGGACTAAGCCTGTGTCTGTAATCATATTTTTACTATTTTTTTGGGGCAGTCTTTGCGCCCCTGCTGGCCAGTGGTGGCCGTGACAGGTCACCGAAAAAACAGGAAATGAAGGCATTTTTCGGCGGTGTGCTACGGGCGAACTGTAAGGAGTATCCCAAAAAAATTTGGGAACTTCTGTGAGTTCATGTCTGTAGATGTGACATGTCAAATTCGAGCTCATTTGGACAAAACCCCGGGGATTTGAATCTTTTTGTAGACCCCCAAGTCAAAACGGCGCCGAATGTTTGATCCAATATGGCCGACTTCCTGTTCGTCATAGGGGTGCACAATGATTGGCTTTTTTGTTTGTCTCCTAGAGTTCTATCACTGCTCCGAATTTCGTGACCGTATGACAGAATTTGCCTCTCAGACTCCCATTCATTTAAAAATGTGCAATTTCTAGGGGGCGCTGTTGAGTGGGGGGGCTTTGGGCATAGTCGCGATGCCCATTTTATCAAATTTTTCACCGGGCCGATCGATCTGATACCCAGTTTGGGGACTTTTCGTCGAAAAAATTGAATTGAGATCCTTTGCAAGGAAAAATAATAATAATAGAGCGTAAGAAACCGAGCAAAAACAATACCCCTCGCCGAGGGCCAAAAATCACAAAGACAAACATTAAAATCACAAAGAAAGAAGTAAAATCACATTCTTGGTGATTTTATTTGAAAATCACAAAGACAGACATTAAAATCATAAAGAAACACAGTAAAATCACAAAGAAAGAGTCAAATCACAAAGAAAAACATTAAAATCACAAGGAAGAAAGTAAAATCACAAAAAATAAATGGTAAAATCTCAAAGTGGGAGTAAAATTACAAATAAAGACAATAAAATCAGAAAGAAATACAGTAAAATCACAAATAAAAACATAAAAATCACAAAGAAACACAGTAAAATAAAATTTAAAAAAAGTAAAATCACAAAAATAGATGGTAAAATCACAAAGTGGGAGTAAAATTACAAATAGATACATTAAAATCACAAAGAAACAATAAAATCACAAAGAAAGAGTCAAATCACAAAGAAAAACATTAAAATCACAAGGAAGAAAGTAAAATCACAAAAAAAAAAAGGTAAAATCTCAAAGTGGGAGTAAAATTACAAATAAAGACAATAAAATCAGAAAGAAATACAGTAAAATCACAAATAAAAACATTAAAATCACAAAGAAACTCAGTAAAATCCCCACGATCGTTAGTTTATTTCGATGCGACTTCACCGAGAGCCTTTTGACGACGTGATGAATCGTTCTTTCTGTACCTGAGCCACGTTGGAACAGATTTTCCCCGGTTTTCACTTTTCCCTCGTTCTTTTGGTCCCGAAGTGTTTGCGTCCATCTGTTTTATTAACGCGACGTTTCCATTTAATCCGCCCCATCTCCTGTATTAACGCGGCGAGGATTAGACGCTGGACACTCTGCGAAATCACTCTCATTTATCAGCACCTGTCTCCACCCGGGCGAGAGGGGCCGGCGCGCCTCCCCAACACACACACCGCCGCCGCCCGTCACTCAAAGCCATCGCCCCCGACGACGCCGCGGCTCCAATCAGCCTTATGGTTTCATCGCACTGAAAGCAGAAGCGACGCCGGCGTTTTCGTTTATTTATTCGTCCGGAAGAGACGAGGTGTCTGTTTCTTTTGCGCGATTCTTTCAGATTGGAGCGCTTTGGACGGTTTAGTTTTTTTTTTTTATCTTTACGGAGACCAAACCAGGGCGAGGTACGGGTCAGATCTGTGGAGAGGCGACGCCGCTCACAGTCACAATGAACCTTTTTTTTTAGCTCGAAAACCACCTGGAATTGGATTGAATTTTCACACTGCGGGACATTTCAGGCAGAGAAAAGCATAAACAGCACATCAAAGTTGGGACTAAACCATATCCTAGACCAGGACTAGACCAGGACTAAACCAGGACTAGACCAGGACTAGACCAGGACTAAACCAGGACTTTAAAAGGACCAATTAGGGCTGTTTTCAAACTTAAAAAACAAATCAAAGTTCAGACTAAATCCTGTTCTTGACCACAGACTAGACCAAGACTAGAACAGGATTAAACCAAGACTAGACCAAGACTAGACCAGGACTAGACCAGGACTAGACCAGGACTTTAAAAGGACCAAACCAAATCTTTAATTGTCATGCTTGGAATGGTTTAGGGATTTGTTTAAACTTAAAAAAACGAATCAAAGTTCAGACTAGACCAGGACTAGACCAGGACTAGACCAGGACTAGACCAGGACTAGACCAGGACTAGACCAGGACTAGACCAGGACTAGACCAGGGCTTAAAAAGGACCAAACCAAGTCTTTAAATTGTCATGCCTGGAATAGTTTAGGGTTGTTTTCAAACTTAAAGAACGAATCAAAGTTGAGATTAAACCTCGTTCTAGACCACAAACTAGACCAGGACTAGACCAGGACTAAACCAGGGACTAGACCAGGACTAAAACAAGTCAACACGTTATGGCTGCTTTCAAACTTAAAGAACAAATCAAGCTTCACACTAAACCGTTCTAAGACCAGAGACTAGACCAAGAGTAGACCAGAACTAGACCAGAACTAGACCAGGACTACCCCAGGACTACACCAGGACTTTAAAAGGACTAAAACAAGTCTTTAAATTGTAATTCTTAGAATGGTTTAGGGCTGTTTTCAAATTTAAAGAACGAATCAAAGTTCAGACTAAACCCATTTCTAGACCACAGACTAGACCAGGACTAGACCAGGACTAGACCAGACTAGACCAGGACTAGACCAGGACTAAACCAGGACTAGACCAAAATTAGACCAAGACTAGACCAGGACTTTAAAAGAACCAAACCAAGTCTTTAAATCGTAGCGCTTGGAATGGTTTAGAATCAAATTTCAGACTAAACCCCTTTCTAGACCAGAGACTAGACCAGGGACTGGACCAGAGACTAGACCAAGACAAGGCCAGGACGAGACCAGGGACTAGACCAGGATTAAACCAGGACTTTAAAGGGACGTCTAAGCGAGTCTTTAAATTGTAGAACTTGGACTGGTTTAGGGCTGTGTTCAGAAGAACGAAGCAAAGTTCAGACTAAACGCCTTTCTAGACCCGGACTAGACCCGGACTAGACCAAGACTAGACTAGACCCGGACTAGACCAAGACTAGACCAGAGACTAGACAAGACTAGACCAGGACTAAGACTAGACCAAGACTAGACTAGACAGAGACTAGACCAGGACTAGACCCGGACTAGACCCAGACTAGACCAGAGACTAGACCAGAGACTAGACCAGGACTAGATCAGGTTCAGACCCGGACTAGACCAGGATTCGACGAGGACTAGACCAAGACTAGACCAGGACTAAACCAGGACTTTAAAAGGACCAAACCAAGTCTTTAAATCGTAATATTTGTAATAGTTTAGGGGCTGTGTTCAAACTTAAAGAACGAATCAAAGTTCAGACTAAATCTCATTCTAGACCAGGACTAGACCAGGACTAGACCAGGACTAGACCAGGACTTTAAAAGGACCAAACCAAGTGTTGCGGGGTCGGGTGTGAGAGGTCAGAGGTCACAGTGTGTGAGTAAATGGAGAAGTGACAGAAATGATCTTTAATGGAGCAGATAAAAAGGTTAAAGCCCCAGAGAGTGAAGAGCTCGTCTGCTTCAGTTTGACTCAAACACGTTTAATCCACTAATGATCCTGAGAAAAAAAACATCACAAACATAAAATATAAAAAAAACATCACAAATATAAAATATAAAAAAAACATCACAAACATGAAATATAAAAAAACATCACAAATATAAAATATAAAAAAACATCACAAACATGAAATATATAAAAAAACATCACAAATATAAAATATAAAAAAAACATCACAAATATAAAATATAAAAAACATCACAAACATGAAATATAAAAAACATCACAAATATAAAATATAAAAAAACATCACAAATATAAAATATAAAAAAACATCACAAATATAAAAAAACATCACAAACATGAAATATAAAAAAACATCACAAATATAAAATATAAAAAAACATCACAAACATGAAATATAAAAAAACATCACAAACATGAAATATAAAAAAAACATCACAAATATAAAATATAAAAAAACATCACAAATATAAAATATAAAAAAACATCACAAACATGAAATATAAAAAAACATCACAAATATAAAATATAAAAAAACATCAACAAACATGAAATATAAAAAAACATCACAAATATAAAATATAAAAAAAACATCACAAATATAAAATATAAAAAAAACATCACAAATATAAAATATAAAAAAACATGTAAACAAAAATATTACAATTATAATATATAATTTATAATATATAATATATAAAATTATGATGACTTAAAAAAATAAAAAAAAAAAAAAAACTGAAAGAAACAGAAATTGAAGTTATAGTGGATTGAACTAAACCAGGACTAAACCAGGACTAAACCAGGACTAAAACAGGACTAAACCAGGACTAGACAAGTGTTAAATCAGATTTCCACCTGTGTTCGTCCTGATCTCGGGGAGTGTGATTAAACGGTCGGCGGTGACAGACTGAGACCAGAGTGAGACCAGAGTGAGACCGTGACCTTTTCTTTTAGCCCCCGTCGACCTCTGACCCCTGACCCCCGGTGTTTATCTCCGTCTCTTGTGTTTTCGTTCGTCGTTCGTTAGCGGCGTTTGACGTACGGCCCCGGGTTAAGTTCAGTTCACAGACTCAATCACATCAGCACCGCGACCCCGACTGTCCAAACCAAAACACCACCCGGATTTAACAACAAATATATCAAAAAAACACAAATGCAAACCAGGACTAAACCAGGACTAAACCAGGACTGAACCAGGACTAAACCAGGACTAAACCAGGACTAAACTAACAAACCAGGACTAACCAGGACTAAACCAGGACTAAACAGGACTAAACCAGGACTAAACCAGACTGACTAAAACACACATATATAGCAAATTTCTTAAACAAACATTAATAATATATTGATAAAATAAACACTTGAAAAAAACTGATGCCTGGGGGGGGGCACAGTCGCCCTCCACTGCAGACTGTTTAATACAGACTGTTTAATACAGACTGTTTTAATAATAGACCCATAGAATTAAAATCATTTTGTATGTTTGGCTAAAATTTTCCACAAATTGCATTTCCAAATAAATAAACAGACAATAAAATATCATGTGCTCAAATAAATAATTAGTCATAAATGTTTAATCACAGATCATGAAAAGTGTCCTCCTGGACAAATATGTCCAACGCACTTTGGGATGTTCAGGTCTTTCATAGTTTTTACGGTTATATTTTATCCAAATCATTATTCAATTGTGACTCTATTATGTTCCATCAAAATGATTAAAACATAAAATGAATGTTTTATAAATCATATGTGGACATATAAATATAGAAATATAAAAACATATATACATATGTTATTATCTTCATCAGGTTTAATCAGCCCAAATAACAAAGAGAAATGAATAAATTGAGTTCAGGCTCAGGAGGTTAAGATTCATGAAGAATATTCACAATAATGTTGAGATTTGTCAGAAATTTTAAAAAGTATGATGTTGTTTAATGTAGTTTTCCTGCCCCTGTGTGAGACGTCCCCATGACGACCAAAAAAACTCACTGTGGTTCAAATGTTCAAACTACAGATTCACGTCCACATGGGAATCAAACACTGGACTGAATTTACACGTCATTTAGTCCAGAACTGGTCCTGGACGGTCAACCGGTCTAAACGCAAGGTCAAAGACTAAACCAGGTCTAAACCAGGTCTAAACCAGGTCTAAACCGGTCTAAACCAGGTCTAAACCAGGTCTAAACCAGGTCTAAAACCAGGTCTAAGGTCTAAACCCGGTCTAAACCAGGTCTAAACCAGGTCTAAACCAGGTCTAAACCAGGTCTAAACCCGGTCTAAAACCAGGTCGGTCTAACCAGGTCTAAACCAGGTCTAAACCCGGTCTAAACCCGGTCTAAACCCGGTCTAAACCAGGTCTAAACCAGGTCTAAACCCGGGTCTAAACCCAGGTAAACCAGGTCTAAACCAGGTCTAAACCAGGTCAGGTCTAAACTAAACCAGGTCTAAACCAGGTCTAAACCAGGTCTAAACCAGGTCTAAACTAGATCTAAACCAGGTCTAAACTAGATCTTAAACTAGATCTAAACCGGTCTAAAACCGGTCTAAACCCGGTCCCTGTGCATATTCTAGTTTTGGTGTTTTTTTGACGTTCTGGTTCTGGTTCTGGTTCTCCTCAGGGCTGGAGCTGCCGTTCATGATGATGCCTCACCCGCTGTTGCCGATGGGTTTGCCGCCGGCGTCCGTTGCCATGGCGATGTCTCAGATGAACCACCTCAGCACCTTCGCCAACATGGCCGCCGCCGCACAGCAGATCCACACGCACGTCCACCGCGAGCCCGTCATCAAGGTGAGAGAACGCCGACCGTCCGAACGCCGACACCGTCCGAACGTCCAAACGTCCAAACGTCCAAACATCCAAACGTGACGAGAGAAGAACACGAGGGACAAAACTGAGCCCTGAGGGACGACCACAGAATTTACTCTATGTTATTATAGTTAAGAAAAAAAAAAAGTAAAGTAAAGTTTTCATTTTGTTTATTCTTATGTCTTTTGTTGTTTTATTTGCTCAATTAAAAAAAAAAAAAGAAATTAAGTATGTGTTTCTATGATCTGGACTTAATCTGGGACTTAACCAGGACTAAACAGGACTGGACCAGAATTAAAACCAAAACTGGACCAGACTGATCAGGACCTGACCAGGACTAACCAAAACTGGACCAGACTGAACCAAAACTGGACTGGACCAAAACTGGACCAGACTGGACTAAGACTGGACCAAAACTGGACCAGGACTGGACTAAGACTGGACCAAGACTGACCAGGACTACTGACCAAAACTGGACCAAGACTGGACTAAGACTGGACCAAAACTGGACCAAGACTGACTGACCACTAGACCAAAGACTGGACTAAACTGGACCAGGACTGAACCAAAACTGGACCAAGACTGGACTAAGACTGGACCAAGACTGGACCAGGACTAAACCAAAACTGGACCAGGACTGAGCCAGTACTAGACCAGAACTTGACCAGGACTAAACCAGACCTAAATCAGGACTGTGGAGCAGGACTAGACCAGGACTAAACCAGGGTAAAAATCAGGACCAAGCCAGGACCAAACCAAGATTAATCCAGGACTAAAACAGAACTAAACCAGGACTGAAATAGAATTAAGAAAAACTGAACTGACAAAACCACAACTCAGCAGGCCAAAATTAGGTCAAAACCAGAACTAAACTCAGGAATTAGACCAGGACTAGACCAAGACTAAACCAGGAAACGGGATAACCAGGAATAGACCAGGACTAGACCAAGGACTAAACCAGGACTAAACCAGGAGTAGACCAGGACTCAACCACGACTCAGCCAGGTCTAAATTTGGTTAAAACCAGGACTAAAGGAGGAGTAGGACCAGGATTAGACCAGAACTTGACTAAGACTAAACCAGGACTAAACAGAACTAAACCAACAGATAAACCAGGACTCAACCACCACTCAACCAGGTCTAAATTAGGTCAAAACCAGGACTAGAGCAGGACCAAACCAAGACTGAAATGGAACTAAACCAGAACTGAACCAGGACTAAACCAGGCCTAAATTAGGACAAGATCAGGAGTGGATCAAAACTGGACCAGGACTGAGCCAGTTCTAGACCAGAACTTTGACCAGGACTAAACCGGGATTAAACCAGGATTAAAATCAGGACCAGGCCAGGACCTAACCAAGACCAAACCAGGACTGAAATAGAACTAAACCAGGACTAGACCAGGACTTGATCAGGACTAAACTAGGACAAGACCTGAACTGGGCCAGACTAGACCAGGATTAGACAAGGACTAGACCAGGACTAAAACCAGGACTAGACCAGTAGACAGGATAGGACTAGACTAAACCAGGACTAAACCAGGAGTAGACCAGGACTCAACCACGACTCAGCCAGGTCTAAATTAGGTCAAAACCAGGACTAAACGAGGACTAGACCAGGACTAAACCAGGACTAGACCAGGACCAGACCAGAACTAGACCAAGACTAAACCAGGACTAAAAGAGAACTAAACTAGGACTCAACCACCACTCAACCAGGTCTAAATTAGGTCTAGAACCAGGACTGAACCAGGACTGAACCAGGACTGAACCAGGACTAGACCAGAACCGGACCAGGTCTTTGATGGGTCTGGTGTTGTTTCAGGAGCGGGTGTGTGACAGTCCGTCTCTGTCTCCGTCGGGGGATGAAAACACTCCTCTTGAGTCTCAGCCCAGCAGCTCCGCCTCCAGCTCCCCGGAAAGACTCGGTAAAACCACTAAACTCTCAGTCCAAGTGTTTGAGTCATCTAGCGATCTCTCCCGGGCCCTGTTCAAACCCTGCACGAGATTCTGTACGAGGCTCCGCCCACAAGCCCACGTCCCCCCAGGCTCCAACGCGACAACTCAACATAAAAACACAAAAACTGAACACAGCAACTGGACAAACCTGATGTGTGCGCTCTGAAGGGGGAGTGACTTAGCTCGTGTTAATACATTATAACAAAAACTCTTTAAATGAAAGTAAAATAATAAATGTTATAACAGTTACAAAATAGGAGTAAAAAATATAATACTGTCTTGAATTATAAAAAAGACCCGTCAATATTTCTTCTATAATTTAAACGTATCCATGTAATACTCCCTACAACTGTGCAACAGCTCACCCTTATGTCACAGATAATACTCCCTACAACTGTACAACACAACAGATAATACTCCCTACAACTGTACAACAGCTCACCCTTATGTCACAGATAATACTCCCTACAACTGTACAACAGCTCACCCTTATGTCACAGATAATACTCCCTACAACTGTACAACAACAACAGATAATACTCCCTACAACTGTGTAAAACAGATAATACTCCCTACAACTGCACAACAACAGATAATACTCCCTACAACTGTACAACAAGAGATAATACTCCCTACAACTGTGTAAAAATAAATAATACTCCCCACAATTGTACAACAACATATAATACTCCCTACAACTGTACAACAACTCATGCTTATGTCACAGATAATACTCCCTACAACTTCACAACAGATAATACTCCCTACAACTGTACAACTTGTCCTTATGTGACACATAATACTCCCTACAACCGTGTAACAACAGATAATACTCCCTACAACTGTGTAAAAACAGATAATACTCCCTACAACCGTGTAAACAACAGATAATACTCCCTACAACTGTGTAAAAACAGATAATATTCCCTACAACTGTAGAACAACTCATGCTTATGTCACGGATAATACTCCCTACAACTTCACAACAGATAATATTCCCTACAACTGTGTAAAAACAGATAATACTCCTTACAAGTGTACAACAACTCACCCTTTTGTGACAGATAATACTCCCCACAACTGTATGACAACAGATAATACTCCCTACAACTGTACAACAAAAGTTAATACTCCCTACAACTGTACATTAACAGATAATACTCCCTACAACTGTCCATTAACAGATAATACTCCCTACAGTTGTATGTAGTGTGCAGTACAGAGTGTAGAGGGTTTTTCTTTAAGATTCTCTGCGTTCAAAATGACAGGATCATTTTGTTTTTTAAATGTTAATCGCTACGGAAACGTCCCACATTGGTGTCGTTGCGTAACCGGGGCGTCGTACATCTGCGGAGTCGAGCGGGAAAACGATAACGACGACGCGCGGGGGGGGGGGGGGGGGGGTCTTCTCCATGTGGGTCACGATCTCGGCGGGAAGCTCCGGCCTCATTAGTCTCAGGACAGGTAAAGGTGAGAGGCGTGAGTAATGCTCCAGCGCACGGGTCACCGCTCCAAATAGGACACACACGACACACACACACACGACACACACACACACACACAACACAAACACACACACACACACACACACACACACACACACACACACACAACACACACACACACACACACACACACACACACAACACACACACACACAACACACACACACACACACACACACACACACACACACACACACACACACACACACAACACACACAACACACACACACACACACAACACACACACACACACACATCACACACACACACACACACAACACACACAACACACACAACACAACACACACACAACAACACACACACACAACACACACAACACACACAACACACACAACACACACACACACACACACAAACACACAACACACACACACACACAACAACACACACACACACAACAACAACAACAACCTAATGTGACAGATAATACTCCCTACAACAACTGTACAAGACAACAAATACAATACAACATATAATACTCCCTACAACTGTACAACAACATATACAAGCGAACACACACATATATACACAACTACAAGTTGATAATACTCCCTACAACTGTAAACAACAATGATAATACTCCCTACAACTGTACAACAACAGATAATACTCCCTACAAATATGTAATACAACACATATAATACTCCCTACAACTGTACAACAATATATAAGATATACACAATACAACAATACACACACGACATATAATACTCCCTACAACTGTACAACAACTCAGCCTTATGTGACAGATAATACTCCCTACAACTGTACAGCAGCCTACAGAGGTAACACATAATACACACAATATACATGAGTCCAGCATATAATACTCCCTACAACTGTATTACTCACCCTTATGTCACAGATAATACTCCCTACAACTGTACAACAAACCAAACAAACGACTCAGAAAATTCCACGGCTTTAACTCATTACGGGTTATTAAAGGTCCTGAACAGACTTTACACACACACACACACACACACACACACACACACACACACACACACACACACACACACACACATATTTTCGTATGATTCCTGTAAGCGGACACACGCTCGCGCCGCTGACACTTTCCCCCCCGTGACAGATAACAAACGATCCGGAGACGCACAAAAAGCTTCTCAAAACAAAAAACCGGCGGAAGTTCGAATATCGATCGTCCGTCTTGGAGCGCATCAATCAGCGGGGGGCATAAGTAAAGCGGCGGCGGCGAGTGGGGGGGCGGGGGCGCGGCGAGGGGCTAAAAGGGGTGAGCCAGGTCAGCCGCTAAAAGCCTGAGCGTGTGAGCCGCCCGCCCGCCCGCCCGCGTGTGTGTGTGTGTGTGTGTTTTCAATCTCTCGTCCATAACAATGCTCCATCTGCGAACGTGTCGTCTGCTCGCGTCAGCACCATCCCGGACCTGCCCCGCTGCGATCAATAACGCAAAAAAGTCCCCGCAGGAATACACCGCGCCGCACGCACAACTGCAGACGCACGACGGCAAACACACACACGGCAAACACACACACGGCAAACACACACACGGCAAACACACACAGCTGCTGTTAGAGGGTGTGTGGAGGATTTTTTTTTTTTTTTTACTTTCACATTTTGAAACTAAAAAAGAAAAAAAAATCTTCAACTCCTACAAAATATAAACTGATAAACCTTAAATTTGTTGTAGCTATATTATATTATTTTTTTTCTATAACATGGAAAAAAAAAAAAAAAAAACTCTAACTGGATTTTTTCCCCCTGCTTTTTATTTATTTTTTATTTATTTATTGTCAAAATAGAGAGCATTTTTTTTCATGTGAGTTGTTCTACAGTTGTAGGAGTATTATCTGTTGTGTTGTACAGTTGTAGGGAGTATTACTGTCTGTTACATGTGATATTATCTGTTTGTAACAGTTGTAGGGAGTATATCTGTTTTGTACTGTTTAATTGTTGTACATGTAGGGAAGTATATTATGTATATTGTTGTACAGTTGTAGGGAGTATTATCTTGTTGTACAGTTGTAGGGAGTATTTATGTGTTTTTGTACAGTTGTAGGAGTATTATCTGTTGTTGTACAGTTGTAGGGAGTATTATCTTGTTGTACAGTTGTAGGGAGTATTATGTGTTGTTGTACAGTTGTAGGGAGTATTATGTGTTGTTGTACAGTTGTAGGGAGTATTATGTGTTGTTGTACAGTTGTAGGGAGTATTATCTTGTTGTACAGTTGTAGGGAGTATTATGTGTTGTTGTACAGTTGTAGGGAGTATTATCTTGTTGTTACAGTTGTAGGGAGTATTATCTGTTGTTGTACAGTTGTAGGGAGTATTATCTTGTTGTACAGTTGTAGGGAGTATTATCTTGTTGTACAGTTGTAGGGAGTATTATCTGTTGTTGTACAGTTGTAGGGAGTATTATCTTTGTTGTACAGTTGTAGGGAGTATTATCTGTTGTTGTACAGTTGTAGGGAGTATTATCTTGTTGTTGTACAGTTGTAGGGAGTATTATCTGTTTGTTGTTGTACAGTTGTAGGGAGTATTATCTGTTGTGTACAGTTGTAGGGAGTATTATCTTGTTGTACAGTTGTAGGGAGTATTATCTTGTTGTACAGTTGTAGGGAGTATTATTATGTTGTTGTACAGTTGGAGGGAGTATTATCTTGTTGTACAGTTGTAGGGAGTATTATTATACAGTTGTATTATCTTGTTGTACAGTTGTAGGGAGTATTATATCTTGTTGTACAGTTGTAGGTTGGAGTAGTATCTTGTTGTACAGTTGTAGGGAGTATTATCTTGTTGTACAGTTGTAGGGAGTATTATCTTGTTGTACAGTTGTAGGGAGTATTATCTGTTACATAAGGGTGAGTTGTAACTTACTTTGAAATTAAGTTTAATTCTAAATAATCATTAAAGACATTTTTCACTTTTACACGAGACTTTTAATTCTGAACAAAAATAACTTCATTTTGATTAAAAATGAAAAAGTCCATGTAAACACTTAACTCTCGTCTCTATGGCGACTGATCAGTTTAACGTCATACTTTGGAACACTGCAGGTGAAGCACTGACATCTCCATGGAAACAGGCACCCGACGGGCTCTGTGTTAGAAAAGTTCCGTGGTGCGTCTTTAATCCCCGCGTCCGTTACGGAGTGAGGTCACCTGGACTCGTGCGTTTGCTTTTTCGCGGCGTCGGTGAAACGGCGGTTTGTTTAAAATAAACGAGCGCTGGAGGGTTTAAAGTGGGTCGAGGAGTGATGGGTGAACGTGAAAGTGAAAGTGAGCCGTGTGCAGAGCGCCGGGGGGAATAAGAGCCGACGCCGAGCTCGTTACGGCTCCGACCGGCTCCATACGTCACATGAACACGAGCGCACACATGTAAAACCCCGATGATCCACAGAATAAGGCAAGGCAAGTTTATTTGTACAGCACAATTCGTACACAAAGTAATTCAAAGTGTTTTACAGAATAAGAAATACATTAAAATCATAATAAAAACAAATCAAAACATAAATAATCATGAAGATTAAAATTAAAAAAGAGAGACATAAATTGGAGAGAAGAGTGCGGAATGAAAAACCTTTCAGTTATT